TAAGGATGTTGGTGTTGCCCTAGCCTAAAGGACTTACATGCGCAATCTTTCCATAACCGTAACCTTCTGTAACAACCGCTTGTTACACATAGTGCCTGCACTTCACGATTGGGTCTCCTTCTGGGAATTCCTATTTCCATTATTGTACTGCACTTGAACTTAACCACAGGGCTTTGTATTCAATTACATGCTTCTTATTAGGTTACAGAAGCTAAAATCTTTCAATTTTGCCTCCAGCTAGACTTGAACCGTTGACTTTGACTGTGGAGGGTATGGGAGCTTAACCACTAAGCTATGGGACTTACACCCCTTACTTTTATTTGAATATTAATATAAATTTTAATAACTTTACTATTTTTAGTATTTTCAATATACTTTAAAAGACCTGTGGGTCAATAGCAAAGTGGTTACGCTCCTAGGTTACCAATCGCAAGGTTGTCAGTTCAAGTCCAATAGGAGACGAAAACTGAGTTAGGACTACAATTGTTGATTAACTACAGCAGATGATGCTCTATGAAAATAGGAAGATCTTTGGTACCTAGATCCTTAAATGATGACGGACTTGACATAAGAAGGCCACGATGATTAGGGGGCTAAGGATAATAATAGAACAAAGGAATCCCTGATTAGGAATAGTCCTGATGAAATTCCGAAGTAATAGGACCACAAAATTAGTATATATATAATACTGTAAAAATGTATATAAATAAAAATGTAAAATGTAGACGGAGTCCTGATAGAAAGTCTCGTGAACTTAAAAATTGAACTAATAAAATAGCTGCCAACTGCGGCCCACTAGCGACCAGGCAGTAGGAATTCAAAAAAAAATATATATATACTAATATAGAAAAAAATGTAAATTCTATTATAGTAGTACTTTTAACTAAAGGTTCTTATTTGCTTAATTTCTTTATATTGGTATTTATTTTATAGGTTTAATCTTTATAGTAGTACTGTCAAAGATCTGTATTATCTTTTTATTTAAATTTTTTTAAATAAGCTTTTGTTTTTTGTTTTATATATTTACAAAATTATAAGAACTTATTTTAGATTTGCACTGCTTAGTATTAGTTTGCATCTTGCTATATAATCAAGATCATATAAATGCTTTATAACCTGTTAGTTATAATAATGTGACTATAGTTACAAATGTTTTATTTTAACTAATTGACAAAAAATAATTGTTATAACAAAGTAAAAATTCAAATTTTTGTTATTAATAAGTTTTGAACTTCCAACCTGCTATTTAAAAAAATGACAACTTATCTATTTTACTAAGTTGTTATACTCCTAATTTTAATTTTTAAATACTTTTTATTGGATTTAATAAATTATTAGATTTGATTTATAAACCAAATATGATTTAATTTTTTATCAACTATTACAAGTTATTAATTTTAACAGAATTAATTTTAAAAGATTTGTTTGAATATTAAATATATTAAAAAGTTCTTTTAGATCAAAACTAATCAAAATACAAACTACTGCAAATATGCTTGCTTTTTAGTGATTGTTAAAAAAAATTATTATTTTTTATTTAAAATAATACTATAAAAGCTTAAATTTTTTAATTAAAATTAAAAATTTAAAAATTATAAACATTTTGTTTAATATTTTTAAATTTTTTATTTAATAAAATTTTTGAAATATTGTATTCTACTATTTATAATTAACAAAATTCTTTAAATCTTATTTTTGATTTAAAAAATTAGGTTAATTTTATATTACATCTAATTATATAATATGTAAATAATTACTACTATTAAATAAATTCTATACTATATACAATATTTTTAAACTTTAAACCAAACCTATTAAATACAATTCAAGTTTAAATCAAATTTTAATTAAATTTAAAATTTAACTAAACCAAACTAAAACCAACAAACAGGTTCTACAATTTATACATATTATATATTTTTGCAAAAAAACGTAAAACTCTAATATACTTTGTTTTAAACCTATGATCAATGTTTTAACATAATACAAAATGCAAAAGTAACATATATAGCACGACAAACGCCATCTAATCTTTGTCAAAAGTAATGCATTACGTGTTTAGTAATACACGTGTGGTTATAATGACAACCATTTAATATTAAACACTATTTACGAATATAAATTAAAGTACGCCCAAAATGCGCAAAATACTACTTTTTTACTTCATTATTATGATTGTCACTGTAATAGTATTAGAAATTTTCCCCATCGAATCCGACAAATCCCTATTTGTATAGAAGTATATCATGAATTATGGATAAATGTTTAAACCTACGTCATCGATAAAAGAAATCACACATACCGTTAATAAAAACACTGGAAAATATGTCTTCTTTTCGATTAACGAACACCAGTTCCAGGCACTTGTTAAACGTCCATCAATACAACTTCCAGCATCAAAGAAATTGTCAGCACCACTGCCATCAAAAGCAGATTTGAAAAAGTCTGCAAGAATTTTTTTAGTGAGATCCTCAACACCTCCAAAAGAATCCTTAATATAAGATCGGATACCGGAATTTTTTTCAGTCAAAGGTCTGATATTATCGAGACATATCAATATTGGATTTAATATGCGTGAAACTTGATTGTACTAATATGGAAACCAAAATTAGCTTAATATAATGTAATACATAACAAAATATAATAACACCATATTCTTTCACAAACCTTATCAATAAACATGAGTGCATTTGGTACGTTTTTATCACCTAGATGAATAACCGAGCTTCCAACCCAATAACCTGCTTTTTGTTGAGCACGATGTAGAATTATGTGCATAGCTCTCGAAACAGATGGACAATTTTGAACTCTGTTCAAGCCTTGACCGGTATCTCGTAATCTATAGAGATTAGATTCTGATAGCATATCACGGTCGGCTAAAAACCAAAGCATAAACATTTCATTTTGAATCTCGCTCCAGAGTGACAATGTTTGGTTACTATAATCAAATAATAATGATAACCATGAAACGTGGATTTAGTAAACTATTCAATATATATATATATTTATATGCATATAAGTAATTTTTTATTTAAAACACTTACGCATAACAATACTGCATTTCATGATTGTGTGTGAGACGTGCGCCGTTGCGTCCAGAATGAATAGCCAAAGAATAGCCGTCTCTGACCTCTCTTGGATGAAAGTGATCTATCAAATGTTTGAGCATACGGTCACAGCAATCGCTATAGAAAATTGAATTTTGATTAAGTTTATTTTATGTAAAGACTTGATCAGGAATATTACTTTTTTTTGTAAAAACAGTTACCGATTTGCCCTCAAATAAGAGTTGTTATCACCAATGCTATATAAACACGTTTTTATGTCGTCGGATGATAGTTTACTATTTTCATATTTACGGCTTAATGTTTCAACAGCCATTTCTTTTTGCCTGATCTCTTTGTTTATTTGGAATCTCATTTTTCCTTCCGGTTTAATTTCCCTGGTAGCAATAGCAACTTTTTCATCGTAAAGTAAATCAAGACCATCTCGCTCCTCAAGAAAACCGTGAACAGTTTTTATGGGTTTGACCAAATTAAAAGAAAGCAACGATTGAACTTCTGGTAAAATAGAGTCCTATATGAATCATATTTAAAGTAAAGATGACAGCAATAATATATGATTTAGGATTAGATTATAAAAAAAATTTATCACACCATTAACATGTACATCAGTTTTCCATAAGCATCTCTCATTTTTTCTGGGTTCATTATTTTGTGTCGTCTCCCTATTTCAAAAATATCTTGAAAGAATTGTTCATGTTCTTCATACATCTTATTTGCGAACATTTCTTGACCTTTTTTATAGTCACTAAATTAACAACTAGTTAAACTCGTAATAACAAAAATATATATACGCGCATGATAAAGGAATTTATGTTTACCTTGCAACCTAAAACGATCATAATTTGTAACATGGTAGGTTTAATGAATATATATACATTGTAGAAATCACAAACTTATGAGAAATAATTTAAATACTTACGACTAAGCCAGACAAAATGCTGCATAATTCTTTGATCTGTTGAACGATACGGTGTTTTTTGTTTAAAGAATGTGATATAATATCGATTTTATCCGTATATTCTATTTGAAATTGTGTCAATTATAATGATGATACAAACAAGCTTAAATAAAACAAAGAAAAACAAGGAATTTACCAGAAACATTAAGGGCAGCTTCCAATCTAAATTAATAATTGAAATGATGAGTACAATTATTTTCAAATAAAATTGATTTAACAAAATTGATTTAACAGGCTTGATCTAACGTATTTGATTTAACAGATTTGGTCTAACATATTTGATTTAACAAATTGGATCTAATAGATATGATTTAACATATATGGTTAAATATAGAAATAAATAAGTACAATCTGAGTTGCTTCCGTTCTTCCATATCCAACCGGATGGGAATATATTTAGAACGTTCCACTAGCCGTTTTCCGAACGCCGAATCGTCTCTTGATGAGCCAAATGAGGTTGTTTTAGATTCGACATCCGGATCATCAAAATACGATCCCTATCAAAGTTAATATATTGAGCGAAATTTTAAGAATTGAAAATTAACATGCGTTTGAAAAGAATATAATATATTTACTTCAAGGCCCGTATAACTGTTTGAAGTTTTTTGCGAAACAGATTCAACATCTTTGGTGTCATTTTCTAGTACATCGTTGCTTTGTTCATTTTTTAAGTTTTTTTTGGTATGCTTTTGCCGATTTCCTGTGCGATGAATCATAGAGAAACATACTTCACAAAAATCTTCACTACATTGCTCACAAAAAAATGAAGCTTCCTAAAAATGTAGATTCAAATGCTAATAAGTTAACACAGAAATTGGGAACAACAATGCCCGTAGACGCGTAAACAATCGTGTGTTTGTTACCTGATCTCGACATTCAACACATAAACCCTCCGGTATCGGAGCGAAAGCATTATCTTGTTCTGGTTCTTGATCATTATCAATCATTGTTTCATCATCCATGTCGGTCTCACCGTCTTCACGCCCTAAGATTTCATCTAGCTTTTTCCTTTTAATTCGCTTACTCGATTGTGGACCACTTTCACTATCTGATTCATATCGCGATGACCCATTATTTATCATTTCAACATCCTCCAAAGAATCATGGTTATCATGATTAAACATTCCATTATTATTGTAATCAAACATTTGTTTTTCACCATTAAATAATGAACTCTGATTTTCGAAATTATCATTGTAATGATTTTCATCGTTACGATACTCTCTGATATTCTCTCTTTTATTATATACTTTGCTATTTTCGTCGCTATATTCCACCTCTTCATCATCATGCCTTCTTCTGTTATCGTCGTCTTCGTGATTTTCTTCGTTATCAGAAGCTTTATGATGGTCATGTGAAGTTTTAGCAAAAAGGTCACTGAATTCCTCTAGGCCTTTATCACTGTCAGTATTATTGTCCTTATGATTCTCATCGTCTTCATTGTCTTCAGTTTCTAAGTAGTGATCCATGCCAGTAATGGTTGATGTTTGAGATATTTGAGAGTCAGTGTGAATAAGGCTAGCTTGGTGGTCTCTATAAGAATCAACATTTTCAGAAACTTGCTTGGGATTATAATCTGAAGTATTTTCAGTGTTCTGACTCATTTTTGGCAAACGGAAGAAGATCGAAATCTCCGAAACTGCAATTTTTTTTTTTACCCAAATATATATATATACATTTACATATACACACATATATACATATATATACACTTTAATAACAATAGGTCTTTCGGACTTTTGGGTAGTGCAACAAATTTGTTTAGACAATGAAGAATTCCCGAATTTAGTCTGAGTGACATTGAATTTGAGCCACGTATTATGTCAAAAAAAATATATTTATTTATTGCATAACAGATAAAACTATTTAAAGATCTGTTTTTTTGTAAATTGTTTAATTTGTTTACTCTAATTAACTGTTGTACAGGCGTCGCTTAATAATGTCACCTTCTGACAAATTTTTTTTTTGAATTTACTATGTATGAGCTAAGTGACACGTGTATTAACCAGATTTTAACGTTAAATGCTATACCGATTATATGTTGTTAAATTTAACACATCAATATAGCAATAGCAAATAATTACCGAACATAAATAATGAAATGTTTTCCTTTGTTCCTAATGCCAATGATCATGATATCTAAATCTTGATGTGATCTGCTTCCGTAAGTTCCGTAAGGTCGATTTTTCGAAATCTTATAACTAGGCTAGGTCGATAAATTAAACGGTTTGTCTATTTTTTCACTTTCCAGAATCTTAATTAAGAAATAGATTGTATAAATAAAGATCCTCTAAATAAATAAAGCAAATATATAAATATAAAGAGATCTATTTGAGTAGAGTTCAATTCTCATTTTTTAAACCGAATTTTTATTATTAGGAATAATTATAAACCTTACCAATTTACTATTGTGCCTGAATAGTAATGATTTTTAATGGTTTCTATAAACGATAATTTCCATTTACTATTAACTTCTTAATCAAATGTACAAAAAAATTGTAAAAGTAAATAAATACCGAAAATAAGTTAGTGGAATAACTTGGCGGGTTAGCGATCCATGTTACATCTGATTGGTCAAAAATTATCAGACTTTGGCGTATTCAGCGGAGAATCGGCCTTCAATGAGACATGACATTTTTGGAGGCGCGTTAAACATATATAGTTTTAAGCAGATTATTAATTAATTTGTAATTTAAACCTCACGTGACCCACATATTATTATTGAACACAAATGCAAGTCACCAGCATCGCCAGTACCAAAAGTTGCATTTTTATTTTAAAGTATTTAAAATTACCTTTTTTGACAAATTTCATTTATAAATATGGTAAATGAATATGCATGTGAATTTTTAGAGAGCTTATCTTTAAAAGGAAAAAATTTTTACACTTAACAAAATTTTATTACTACATATTATTTATTTTAGTAGATGATTTGATGTATTTTTATTCAACGAAAAATAAACATTAAATTCGTACTTTCATTATTAATCAACTATGAATCGAATAATTTACAAATTTGTATTGCAGAAATTCTGCGATTATGACTTGAAACCTTCGCACACTAAAGATCAAATGAAAAAGATACCATATGAATTGTGAATATCATATAAACCGTATAAGTAGATTACATAAGTATTTGATAAAAATCAATTAGTCGATTTAAAAAGAAGAAAAAAAGACAGCACAATAGATCAAGAAATTTGACTTTAGCCATTTTTTAATTATTGGTAAGAATTTTTATCTGCTACGATGTGTTTTTCTTCGGCCCCTTTCCTTATTCAAATCTCGCTCTCGTGATCTAGACCTTAACCTATAATAGCGACTATCAATTTCTGATTTCTTTCGATCTCTTGATTTGGATCGACTTTTCATGCGGTCGCGAGAAATAGATCTGCTACTTCGACGTGATCGCTTATACCGCGACAGCGAACGATCGCGATGGTATGGTGATCGTGATCGTGAAGAACGTCGACGATACTGATCATCTAACCTTGGCTTTTTAGACTGTTCTCTATCATCATTTGACTTATTTTGATTGTCTTTTTTTCCATTTGTTTCCTCTTTTGCATGTTCACCTTTTGTGTCTTCATTACCAATAATATCATCCCATGCCGCCCAACTTCCGTTATCAAGTTAGCGAATGCATTAAAATCACATTAATATAAATTATTGTATTAAGATTGAATTACGCATACGTTAATAGTCATAAAATTTGTGTGTAGTAATAAATTACAACAAATAATTATAAGAAAACAAGTCACCGATCATCATCATCCCCTTCTTCCTCCTCCTCATCAAATGTATTAACTTCTTGTTTATTTATGCTGTTCTCTCCATCTTGGCTCAATTCTCGTTTACCGTCGCTCCCATTATTATTAACACCGCCATCTCTATTCTTTTTCCTTTTTCTCCCGAATTCGTCCCATTCTTCATCTTTTTCTGCATCTCTTGATCTTCTATATTCTACCACTTCATCACGCTCCATAAATCCTCCACCACGGCCTTCCCTTGATCCCATAGTGGTTTCTAAACCTGGTTTGGGTGTCTTGCATTGATTACATTCTGGTCTTCTAGCCCAATTTATATTGGAACAACTTAACGCGTTTGCAAAAAATTTATTAATTTGTATAAACTTATTTACAAACTAACGAAAGCTATTATAAATGGTGATAAAATTTACATTGGACACTTCCAGTCTTTTTCTGAAAATAATCCCTACCGAGTAATTTATTTTTCTTATTTAATGGTCTTCTTTTGATCAGTCCTCTGAAAGGTTAAACTAACTTACCCCATAACGATTTGCAAACTCTCTTCCCACTTCATTGGCTGTATACATGAGTGTCGAAAATATTTTGCTCTTGACGTAAATTTAAATGGTGAAAATGATTTTTGACCATCAAAATTGTAAATAATTTAGTATGTTTGAAAATATTTTAGTATGCCGAAAATATTTCTGTATGTCGAATTAAAATGTGATCTCCCGTGATAATTAACGTTAACGGTAACCAATCAAAATACATAATTTTCAAAATAATTATATCGATATCGATATTACGGTATACAGTCAACTCTTTCTACGTATAACAAACTGACGGTTCTGGAAGAAGAAAAAAGTTCGCTATAGAAAATTACAATGTTTTCTTAAGGACCTATTGAATTTTCTATACCGAATTATTATGAAATTTTTTTAAAAATTTGAGTTCGTTATATCCAGAGTTCGCTATATAGAGGTTCGTTATATCCGGAGTCGACTATACTAGAAAACGAGAAAAATATCATATCAGATATAAAGAAGCTTATAAACTGATAAATACTGTATACGCTAAAGAGTTTATCACATATATCTAGAGATTAGATAGACATGCGTAAAGTGGTCAAATGTTATTATATTTATTACTAATAAACCCAAATTCATTAAAAATTTTACAAGATATAAACCAAATCTTTAATTTACAATTGACAAACTCAAACACATTATAAGAACAAACATTAACCCAGGTTCTACTATTAAAGAGTTTGTACCTATTCAAATTAAACAGTTAGCAATAAAATTTAACGTAATAAAATAGCTTAGATTTACATCAGCGAATGTTCTACTATGGGCCCTTACTCGTCTTTTGTGTTCATTTATTTTCTTTCGGATTATAATATAAATCATTTTGAAAGTCTACTATATTTTTGACAGTAATAGGATTTTTGACAGTCAATAATAAATTTCGACAGACGAAAATAATTTCGCCATTTTTGGAACGCAATGGCAAAAATATTAAAACCATTTTGCCATACCGATACTGTCTGCTGTAAATCATCCATAGCCCATGTATAACTGGCTGCGAGAAGAATCCCCTCTGGATAGTCGCGGTCCCTTTAATAACGACTACTTCCTCCCATCTATAGGGGCCTAATCGTTTCAGTTTGATGTTATTCTGAACAAAATAAGAATGTTAAATATTTGATATATTTGATCGATAATTATGCGATACGTAGCGCTAGATACTAATGCTAATGCAAGTGATCAACGTCAAAAATAAATGATTTGGTTAACAAGGGTGTCATGATTTCATTGGCGAATAAAAAAAACAATCTATAAAATAATAAAAGAATAACTAATAGATGAGGAGAGTGGGATTCGAACCCACGCCTCTTACGAGACCACGGCCTTAACGTGGCGCCTTGGACCGCTCGGCCATCTCCCCGAATTTAACATTTGGTTTTTAATTTAAAATTATTTAAATATTTAAGACTACTAAACTTAGCACATGACTAATTTGTAATTAGTGTAACGCAACTTAAGACAATATCGATACTTCGGCTTTGCAACCTCGAGCCGGTTAAAGCGTAAACTAAGCCAAGTTGATGTGGCGTTTTTGTATTTGTCAAAATCAATTCTTTAACTTGGAAATAATGTGTCACGAAATAACTCCCGGGGCGTTATTTCGCAATGATACGGTAACGAACCAAATTTTATACCAATTTGAAAATGGATGATGATAATATAAAGGGCTTTGTATAAGCAAACATCTTTCAAGAGTATGATAATGATAAAACACATTCTATAAACTACAAAATAGTTCTATGGTAAGTTCAGAGAATTTCCTTTTTTATATCACCCATATGGATCGTCCGGCTTTAGATAACCTCCATATTCATTGGAGGATGCAAATAGGCCTCCGCATGGGCCGGGTAGGGCTGGGTAGTAGTAATACTTAAGCCCTACCCATCTATGTAAAGGTTCAATTTTAGGCCCTTACCCTTTACC